TCCCAGAAATCTTAACAGCTGCTAAACTTGCTGGAATTTCTGGGAGTTGTAGGCCAAAAACAAATGGGGACCCCAGGTTGAGAACCACTGGAACCCATTGCCACCGGGGCTCCGAGTACCATAAGAAGGACCTAGGAAAGAAGTGGCTGGGTTGCTGTGAGTTTTCTGGGCTGTAAGGCCGTGTTCCAGAAGCATTCTCTTCTGACATCTATGGCAGGATGCGGTGGCGCAGCGGGTTAAACTGCAGAGCTATTGAACTTGCTGACCAATCCAGGGAGCAGGGTGAGTTCCCACTGTTAGCCCCAGCTCCTGCCAACCTTGCATTTTGAAAACATGCAAATGTGAGTAGATCAATAGGTACCACTCATGTGGGAAGGTAACGGCAGAAATGCTTGAAAGGAGGGAACTCTGAACACGGGCCAGCAATCATGTTCAGATCTCCTACGTCTTTCTATGCTTTACTCCTATGTTTACAACTGAAAAGCAGGTGGGATTGGAACCATAAAAAGTTTCCCATCCTATTCCATTGCCCAATGGTCAGCAGTCCTTTGTATCCACTGGGGTTCCATGCAGCTCAAAAGGATCCCATGGAAAAGTGAGGTTTTAAACTGGTGTCAGTCTCCTTTAATGAAGAGGGCTTTGGGCAAAGCAAGAGATATCTTGGTTTTTGGATGTTGTTGTATCTCTTGATTAAAAAAAATAATACTGACCTTGAGATTAATGTAAAATGAATGTATTGCCAGCTCTTAAGTTTCCACATGTGGGTCTGATGGGGAGGCATAGTCTGATAGGGAGTCAGAATTGACCAAACCAGGCGATTCTCTCACTTAAAGGTATGGTCACCCATGCTTTCCCCTCTCTTCTGTCCTCCACCTCTACACTTGTTTGAAGGGGGGAAAAGTACTAAATGCCTGCCTTGATACAAATTGCCCAACATTCGTGGGATTGCACATTCGTAGCCATTGAGACTGCCAGATAATCCAGTGTAAATGGGGCCACAGAGGCATAAGGATTCAGAAATCTTATAGATGTGAAAGATAAACGCTTCCAGATCTTAGATGTTATTACGAAGCAGCAAGTTTCAGTTGACTTAAAGAGTGGATCAAACTGGAGAACAGCAAGTTACTTAATTTAGAGGGCCAATGAGATTCACATTGAGTGGCATCGGAGGTTTTGGATGATGGGTTCATGGGTGTGGAATAAGAGGGGTATAGGGTTGATAAGTGATAATTGTACAGTCATTAATATTTTGCATACAATTTGCATTAGATGGCTGTATAATGTCTTGTGAACATTTCTTCTTTTTATGTATTTTTTTCTTCTCTCTCTTTTCATTTACACAACAAAATAAAAAAAATCAACCCCCCTCCCCCCAAAAACAACAACAAAAAAGGATTCAGATGCCAGATGAATTGCCCAAAGGTGGCCATAAGGTCCCAGGCACTGGATTCTGGTGGTAACCTCGCCATCTTCCTCTGCAGTTGAACAAACTGCTTAGGAAACTCACACAGAGAAGCCTTTTCTGACAGGCAAGTTTTGTTTGCCTCAGCCCTATGCCATGGATCCCAAGGGAGACAATTCTCCACTGGATTCTCCCATAGGGGCCTCAGTTGTCATCATTACTGAGGTGAGAAGCCCTTACTGAGGCTTCATCTGGCTGGATGGAAGAGGATTGAGAAAGCGGAGACAAGCATGCCAAGAGAAAGCTTCTGGATTTTCATGGAAGCCATTTAAAAACCTCCAGAGTGGGAGGGGTAGGGGCTGCCACAAAGAAAGTTCAAGTATTTGACCTTCACTGGGAAGGGCACTATCATGTTCATGCACAATGAAAGGTAGTAACAAAGACAAGATTGTATTCTTCCAGCTCAGGTTTTATTTCACCTGAATGCTGTGTTGTTGAGCATGGATTTTGAAACATCATGATGAAACAAATAGATTTTCTGCAGGAGAGTATTCAGCTAAAGGTTGGAACTTGGCCATGGGCTTACTACCCGAGAGATCTGGGCCTATATGGCCACTGCAGCCTGTGTATTTCCACGTCAGCATTGTGTTCCACGGCAATGAGCCCTTTCCATCTTTTGGTTTCATGAGATGCAAAGGAGAAAAAGCTTGTCTTAGATCTCTAGAAGATCCTCCTAAAATCAGGAGTGAAGACAGGAGATCCCTTTTCCATGTCCCCCAACACGGAGTCCCCTTCACAATTGGTATTTGTGACCGTCTGAGGCATTTGCATTTTCCATTCTTTGCGACAGTGTGAAAAAGCATCCAAGATGTAACAAGAAATATGGCAAATAATTCACCCTGAAATTATCTAAGGAAAACCCCCTAAACACAAAGCTAGACTTGTGTAGAGATCCGGGGAGTGCAGATCCAGGGGGCAGGATCCTTGGAGAGGTGAGAGCCACCACTTGCTTATTGCTCTTCCTGGCTCATTACATAAGCCAATGGAGGACTGGCAGAGTAATGGGTGATCAAACTATCTTTGCATCAAGGCAAGATCCTAGATTGCTTGAAGAAGGCTATGGTAAAACCTTTTCTAAAAAGCTTTCCCTGAACACTACTATACTTGACACCAGTAGACCAGTCTCCAATCTTATTCAAAGAGGACAGTACTGGGCATGTGGTGGCATCCCAACTCAAGGGGTTTCTGGATGAAATGGGTTATATCTATACCTATTTCAATCTGGTTCCAGGCCTAGTCATGAGACATAGAAAGCTTGGTCACCTAGGTAGATGGCCTACACAGCAAACTGAACAAGATCAGTTTGTCCCTGTTGGGTCTTATGGACCTCTCTGTGGTTTTCAATATTATCAACATGGTATCCTTCTAGGCCACCTTGCTGAGAGGAAAATTAGAAGCACTTCCTTATAGTCACTCTGTTCCATCCTAAAGGGGTGAACTCAGAAGGTGGTGTTAGGGAATTTCTGTTTGAACCCCTGGCCTTCGCATGTGGTATTCCTCAGAGCTCCATTTTGTCCCCCGTGCTGTTTAACATATGCACAAAACCCATAGGAGGTCATCCGGAGTTTTGGAATGCGGTACCACCTATATACAGATGGCGCCCAGCTCTACTACTCCTTTCCACCTAAAGCCAAGGAAGTTGTTCTGATCCTAAACCAGTGTCTGTGTTCAGTAATCTGTTGAGTGAGGGCAAACCAATTGAAACTTAATCCAGGCAAGACAATCTGGTCAGTCAGAGAGCAGAGCAGGGAATTGGGATTCAACCTGTGCAAGGTGTGTGAAGTTTAAGGATACTCCTGGACTTAGCATTTAACTGGGAGGCCTAGGTTAAATGGGCCTCCAGGTTAAATGCCAGGAGTGTCTTTGCAAATTTAAACTTGTGTGCCTACTGTGCCCATTCCTGGAGATGTTGGACCTGGCCATGGTGGTACGTGCCTTAGTTACATCCTGTCTGGATTGAATGTTACGCGCTCTACAAGGAGCAGACATCCCCCTGTTGTAACAGCTCCACTGGCTGCCAGTGTTTCTGGACACAATTCAAAGTGCTAGTTTTGACCTATGAAGTCATATACGGCTTGGGTCCAAGTTATTTGGCAAACAGTATCTCCTAGTATGAATCTGCCTGAGCTTTAAGATCATTAGTAACGGCCCTTCTACGTAAGGTTGTGGGAACATGAGAAAGGGCCTTTTCAATGGCTGCCCATCATTTCTAGAAGCCAGAATGGCCCTCTTGTGTCCCTATGGCAGCAGGCTAAGACTCTTCTTTTCAACCAGCTTTTAAAGAAGGAATTTTTAAACAGGGTTTAGGGATGTTGTGTGGTATTTTGTCTATTTTGAATTAATTTTAATGATTTTAATTATTCATTTTAGATACTTCTAGGTTTAATTATAATTTAATGTTTATAGTCTTCAGGTTTAAAATTGTATTTGAGAAAAAAGCAGTATATAAATACAATAATGATAGTTGATTTCTTAAAAAGCAAAGTAATTCACTCTGCATTGGTTTCAGAACAGAGCATAGACTTTCCCATAATTTCTTAGGGGAAGTGTTTTAGACAGCAACATTCATAACTGTAATTTCATACAAGTGCATGATGTAGTTGAGAGATGAGCTGTCTAGGAGAATTAGCAGTACAGCAAAATGAAGAACAGTAACAATACTTTTTGGCAAGTTAGCACACCAAGATTGTATTCTGTACTATCTCGGAAGTATGCATGGGCATGTGCAGAATGTTTTTCTCTTATTCCTTAGGAAGTACTCTCAGTCTGCCACTGTGGGAAGCAAGTAGGAAAATATTGCATCTGAAGAAGCTCTGCCCTAGAGAATGTCTGTTTACAAAATAAAAAAGGAAGGAAATGGGAGAAGTGCCAGTGACTCAAGTTCAGTTTCCTATCCTTTGTAACTACCCTGTGAAACTAAACCCATACATTATTTAAGCAAGTCACTGAAGATTGGCTTTCTTGTTTGAGGGCATTTGAAACCAGTAGTATCTGTAGGATGGGTGGGGGCAGGAGGCAGCAGTATGATGGGTACATTCCACTGCTATGCAGATGACAAATGTAAAAGAGATCCAGTCCAAAAAGTAGAAAATTCAATGGGTCCTGGTCCTAGATGGGAGTATAACGCAGGCACACAAGCTCTCCTTTCCTGTGTACGGTCTATCCTCAGTGGGTATCGTGGATAAATGATCAGTCTCTTTTCTCTACTGCTAAGGAACAGTGATGCCAGTTACCTGGAAACTGGCTAATTTTTTCACCATTGTCCCTCACATTGTAACCTCTGCTAAATAGGTTTTCAGGATTATGAAACACCAGGAAACCCTGCCAAAACTGTTTTAACAGATGGGCTACTGGCATGAGTATACAATGGATTGTCAATGATTTAAAGGAACACATAGTTAGCGTGTGCATATGCTTTGTCTCCCTTGCTTCTCTGGGGGATGGGGGGAGGAATCTGTTTCCAGCACTGAAAACACAAATCTTCCACTCAACAATCCAAACATTATATCTAGTTTCTGCAGTAACAATTTTCACAATGTATCAGAAGATTTTTTTTATTATTTTTCCCAAAGAAAAAAAGAGCAATATAAATATTAGAGTATAAAACTTGCGTGTAACACATCAACGTCAGTCTATATGGATATAAGAAGGATATAAGCATATATATAATATATAAGTATAGTTCAATATTAGACACATTGAAAGGACAAGTAAGTGTTTCCATTCACATACATTTAAAAGCACAAAGAGCACACAGAAAGAAGATACAAAGGAATAAAAAAATACTGATGTCCACAACTCAATTACTAAGATTTTTTAAAAGAGAAAGAAACCTACACATCACTAGGTTTGCAGCACCACTACACTACTTTCAGCTTGCTGATTAAAAGGAAAAAAGGGAATGACTAAAATGCATCTACAGTACTTTAAGAAAGGGTCACATAATAACTACTTCAGTACATAATAAGCCTTAGGCACAATCCAGTGAGAAGTTCACCTGTGGAAGTCCCACTGAAATAAATGGGGTGTACAACAGGACGATCTTGCTCTTGCACGGCTCTGTTCAATCTCAACAAGGCTGGTGCAGGAGAACTTCCCAGCAGATCATATGCTGTTTCAAATAGCTATGTAAACTGTTTCTAGTGCTGTCACCAAACACAAGGGGTGGTGAGTGGGTAACTGGGATCAGTACAAAATCATATGTAGACAGATGTGGTTTTTTCCCTGCAGACAGGTCCTGCTTTCTAGAAATAGCAAAATGCCCTAGCAAGTAATAATTATACAGCCAGTGACTGCAACATTTTGGAAAGCATCAGACATGTAACCTGGTTTGGCCAAATAAGGCTTGACCAAATCAGGCAAGCTGCTTATTAAGGTCTAAGAAAATTTAACCTTCCTGGGCTAGTGGTTAACCCTCTATGTTGAAAATATACCACCTTTGTGGTTCAGCTACTGTGATACAGGAAGTCAGCTGAAAGTGGAGGTAACCCACAGAAAGGCAACCAGGAGTGCCAAGAAAACACTGCAACTCCCTTCCTGTCTGTGTTTAAATGATGGAGGGGACAGGAGCATAAGTTGCAGAATGGCACCAAGTAAGAAAGCTGTACATCCTGTCAATACTAGACTATGAAATAATGCAGTTAAAACCCCTAAAAGAAGTAATTTCAAAGCACAGTAAAGGGTTTTTAAATTTTTTAAAAAAGCAAACTCGTGGATTCTTATCCGGGTGGGGGTAATGGTGGGGTCCCAGGGACTTTCAGTATACCAATGCTTAGTCATTTCTACTGTGTTCAGAACTTTACCTCAGGGACAGAGTCACTGGCTTGGCAGCCCAAGGTCTATATCCAGTTTTAGTTCCTTTTCTGGGTCTGGTCCCTTAGTTTCCTTAACTCAATGGTTCTTGAGTTAATATCAATTTGTGAAGGCCAGCAAACCAAGGATATTTCTCGGTGTGCTGCACAGACATAAAGAATATGCAACTTTTCTACTGCTCTTCCCCAATGCATCTTGTTACTGAACTCTACTTACAGACAGACAATGCTCATGTTCCACCAGGATGTGGGCACTTGACAGCATATTTACATCATGCTGTTTATGGCATGCAATGACTTCTCTACTCTAGCTTTGGTGGAGATGGCGGTCCTACTGTAGGCATGAAGTGAGTGTTTTGCATGCAGCTCGATGTGCGGAAAAATGTGAAGCATTCCATTTTCAAAATTTCTCTACCTACAAGGCCACCAGAGCCCATTCACCTAACAAAGAGATCTGCCTGTAGAACTAAGAGAAAGATTTCAGTGCTTAGACGAGCAGCAGCGCACTATGCTCACAAGCAAGTGACTTCAACTTTTTAAAACTTATTTCAGAAAACAATTATTGTACACATAAATATTTACGGATCAAAGTGTAGATGAGATGTCTTGTCTCTTTAGAGGCCACTGCAAATCAATAAGAGTAACGTTCTCCACTTTGCTAATATGCGCCCTTGGAAGGGTTCCTATCGCAATGCGTTTGTGCGCCCTGACTCTCTGGCATCATGATTTCAATTTTATTTTTCTGGCTGTCATTGATTAAAATCCAAAAAATAAAATGTTTGCAATGCAGCTGAATCTCATTCCCTTGTAATAATGCAGAATAAACAAGTGTTTCTTCTGAAACAAAGCAGGAACAAAAGCACTCCCTATCAATTTCATAACAAGGATTTCATTCTTTGTTTTTCTCCCCAAGAAATTTCATCAAAATTTGGAAAAGCGGGAACATGAAAAATAAGAATAAAAATACACCCCACCCCTAATTTTAGAAGAATTCTTTACAGTGGGCAAGCCCACTCTAAACCTTCTTGGCTGTGCAGATCACGCTGGAGCAAAACAACCGCTAATAAAATGCTTCAAAGATCTAACACTTTTGCGTATTAGATTACCCTCAAGAGAGCATTAGCTATATTCATCATTATCCACAGGGCTTTCTCTTTTGTTTCATATCCTTTTACATCATGAGGAGTAACAGTAGGAGAATTACTCATAGCTCAGATGACAACATTTTACATTCGCTATCTTCCACGCCTGATTTTTGTTTTGTCAAACCACAAATACACATTCATCCTTGATCCTAGGGTATGAATTGGGAGGGAGTGCTGGAAGAGTCTGCCCTTTAAGATGTCAGATGGCAGAGGTGTTGTCCTATGGGCTCTACTTCTTCTCTTTCTTTCCTGACTTCTTCTTGTTTCCACCTCCAGAGGCTGCAGGTTTCCCATCACGTTTGCCTGCAGCATTTGAGAGGGTGGCTGTGCTTCCAGGGATGTACACGTTCTGCCGGTAGTCAGGAACGTGCTGCAGGGTGAACTGTGGGCCATACCTGGTGCTCAGGCCCATGGTCCCGGCCACAGCTCCTCCTCCTAAGGTGGAGTTTCCATCAGGATTGGCGGCGGCAGCTGCAGCAGCTTCTACACCAGCAAAAAGGGGGGGGGGATGGAGGGGAGAGCAGAGACAAATATGTTTGATGAGTAAAGTCTTAACACAGTTTCAAAATGCTAGTTAAATTTAGGATCTAAAGTGGTAAATGATAAACGAGACAAATAAATAAGTTAGATAAGTAAATCCCTAACCAAGTGTTTTGTAAATGTTACTGATACTTAGTTATAAAGTTATAAATGATGAATGCAATAAATAAATTAGACGAATAAAGTCATACCAGTGTTTGCTGAATCCTACCTATATTAATTTTTAAATATATCAAAAAATCAACTTGAATTTCTGATCCTTGCTTCAAATATCACATGGATTTGGTTGAGCACTCTACAGAAACCAACCAGCCAAACCAAAACTCCAGGCACTTCCAACTCTTGAGGGCACAACACGTTGTCTATGTTGCCTTCCTGTATGATATTGTTCAGATTTTAACKCCCCCCCCCCCCCCGGCCCAATCATGCACAGTATATCCTGCAACATGTCAAAGATGAAACTTGGGAGATATGTGGCCAAGCAGCATCAGAATGTGGTCAAGATAGTGGAAATTATTAATGTGGAAGGACACATAACTGATAAGCTACCATATAAAAGTTTGCTTTTGCCTGAGCCTGCAGGGAAGGACAAGTTTCTGTTTCTCTTCTTCCTCCTTACTAATTTAATAGTGCAAACTACTTCCATAGTTTGCATTCAGTTTGCACCAATTGAAGTAAGGTGTGGAAGTGGGAGTAGGACAAAGAAACTGGAACATTTTAAAAGCAGCTGGAAAAGCAGAAAAACAGAGGATTAATCAGGAATGGTTTGCCAAATTGGCTGGAAGGTATGGTAGAAATTTATAATTGATTTATTGAACAGCAGATAGGTGTAGCAAACTAATATTGTGGGCTCTGAAAACACATTCTTCCAAATTGATCATACAAGCCATTTCTGTATATGCAGCAGCATATTTTTTCAGAATATATAAATGCACCTTAGATTGACTGCTATTATGGAAGTAGAGCTCCCCCATTATTACTAGTAGTTGCATTTTATTGTAATCTCTGTGTGTGTGTATGTATATATATATCAATCACATCCAGATGTGCCTTGAGTAAAGCTAAGAGGAATTTTCTGAATCCAGTTTTCCACATATGCCTTTGCCAGGGAAGGTCCCCTTGGTTCCCTGGTATGAAAATCTCGAGCAGTTTCAGAGTGTGGAGAAAATAGGAAGCAGTTTTTCACACCACCACCTCTCGAGTTCCCTGACATATGCCTTCTCTCATTTTCTGTTGCAGTTTGAAGAATGTAAAATATTCTGTATCACAACACAAAAAGCAAGGTAGACAGCTGTCTTTTCATAGTCTTTTGATTATCTCAAATGATTTCATACAACCAAATGTGCAACTGAGAACTGCACTGGATTCTGCTTTCCCCCAGGATGAGGTACTAACAAGTCCAAGTGGAATGACACCACTGGATACTAGCTACTTACAAAATATCCTTAGCCAGCTGATGTGAAACCATTAGCTTTTAATTAAAAATGCAAACTATCTTGCAAAAAAGTATTCCCACTTAAACTGGCATGTGAAACAGGAAAACAGTCAACAAAGAGGTATTAACTTTTATGCTGTCATTTCCCTATTTCTCCAGTTTTCTCATTCACAAACAATACTAGATCTAAGGCAAATCACAGAACCACAGGGTTGGAGGAGACTATTGGGCTATGTAGTGCAGCCCACTGTCATGCAGAAACACATGATCTGAGTAATCTTTCACAAACACTAAGAAAAGATTCATAATTTCCATATTTATTTATCAGAGCAAAGAAAGTACACCAGTGACCATCTTTGCTTTCTCTTCTACTACATCACTGCATGTTAGTAAAGGGCTTATGAAAGGAATAAAGAGGGCATTAGTACTCTGCAAGGGTCAAAGTGTGCAGATGTTTCCATCTCCAAGCTGTCTGTAAGATGATTCACTCTCCTGTTTTGAGCTCCATCCTAGATCTTATGTCCCTGTCCCATGTTGTTGTTGTTATTTTGAATCACAACTTATAGCAAATAAGGCACTAACCTTTCAAACGGACACTACTGCGTACACTAATACACTACAAGTACAAAACTTTATTGTGGTCACTGACCAGCACAAAACGGGGCCCAAGCGCCTTGGGAGGGGAAGGACAACTCCCCAGTAAAGCAGTTATTTAAAAGTAGATTAGAAAACAGGATATTGTGACAGGTATGGAACCGAAGGGGGAGGGGGAGGGGAGAGATTCATAGGAGAGGTCAAATACACTAATGGTGCCAGATCTTGTCAGATCTTGGAAGCTAAGTAAGGTTAGACCCAATTCTTGGATGGGAGACGCCTAGCAACTACTACCTTTGAATATTTATGGAAAACTGTGTAAAATTTATGGGGTCACTGTAATTAGACAGGCAACTTGAATGTATAGACACATATGGTAAAATGAAAAAAAAATCCAAGTAGCAGGAAGGATTTTAAAGATAATGTTCAAATCCTCAGTTACTGACCTGCTGACAATGTGAACTTCCTGCTCTACAACAGAATAAGACTTTGGGGTTTATCATGCTTATTTTAATGGGATATGAAGTGAGCCACATCATCTAACTCAGGATCTTGGGCTGGACAAGTACTTAGACAAAGTCATTTGAGGTTTTGTGTGTGTGGTCAAAAGATACAGCAAGATTTGGACAGCTTTGATCATACAGGCTTTCTCCAGTTAGCCAGGTTTCTAACACTATTCAGTTAGCTCTGAGACATCACATACAATGGAGACAATTCTGTGCAGTGTAGCTCTCAGCATTTATAAGCAGGAGAGAGTCTACTCCTTTCCAGTTCCAGCTGACATAATTTAAAGTAACAATTCTAGCTGCGTGACACATGCTAGATTCAGCTTTCAAACACATCAGATCTGTCTCTTCCAGCAGAAGAATGCTCATTGGGCTGAGTAACTGGAAGATAGCTGGTGCTTTAAGATTAATAGAACAAAAGAGAATTTCTTGGATCAGAAATATATTTTTATTTTGTTTTGCTTTTTTGGTTAATGCTTGGGGTTTATGTTGAGCTGTGTATATTAAGAATTTTAAAAATTCAGGCCTTTCCCCCAAATACAGAAAACCACACAAGCATATATCTCACATTTTATTAGGAAGCATTTTCCCATTCCTTTCTCAAATGTGTTTTAACTTTTCTTATCTTCAAACCTTCATCTAAGCAGACAGAATGTTATGAAAACTCAGTCTTTTGTGTGAAGAGATATGCCATGAACAACCATGACCTTTTGGCAACACAGCTTCATAATTTGTGCTATGTTGCAGAAGAGCATAATTAAGCTTGTAATGCAACCATGCACAAATCAGAACTATGGTGACATGAATTTAAAGCAGACATAATTTCTTGAAATCAATTTTGGTGGCTAAAAATATTTCAAGACTTGATTACCAAAATTTGAACAATGAACTCACAGAAACTTGTACCTGTGCCAACCTTCTCTGGGTTACTGGGAATGCCTCCAACAAGGAAAAAATGGAAGACAGGAGGGCTTTTGTTTGTAAAGTAAAAACCATTACTTTGTGCTCTTTCAGATACAAACAGTGAAGCATAGTAAATTCTAGCAATTACAAATGACTGTCGGACCAAAGCTGTAAAGAATCCCACACCTGCTGTAGCTTGCTGAGATGCGAGAAATGAGTTGACTTATGCTTTGTTCTTTTTAAAAGGTAATTTACACTGATTATATAAATAAAGTTCTCTACATTTCACATGTTTCATCTATATGGCCATATTACAATGCATCTTAGCACTTCTTTCTTTACTAAGGGCCCTTCCACACAGTCCTATAGCCCAGAATATCAAGACAGGAAATACCACATTATCTGAGTTTGGACTCAGATAACCCAGTTCAAAGCAGATATTGTGGGATTTCCTGCCTTGATATTCCAAAATATAGGGCTGTGTGGAAGGGCCTTGAGTCATTCATAGTACTTTTCCTTGGAGTACCCCAAAGAGCAACCTATAAGGCAGGTAACTGCAATCAGAATTTACACTTGAGAAACACCTATAACAGAATTTTGCAAACATTTCATGTTGGTGACATACTTTTTAGACCTGCATTGTTTTGTGACACAATAATTCAGTTTTACTAGCAAACGAGGTTAAACTAACTCCTTATAACAGATATGGACACATAAACCAATTGTAGTATAACACAGTTTGGAAAGCTTTAATATATAATATTAACGAAAGTTAGGAACTTTAAAGTGGAGATAATTGATTTTAGTGTTTAGTGATTTATAGTTTATTTTATGTTCTGGCATTGAATGTTTACCGTATAGATGTTGTGCCCTGATTCTTCTTTGGGGTGAGAAGGGTGGAATAGAAATGTTTTAAATAAATAAATACATTTCAATGAGAGAAATGTGTTTAGTTTGCTCATTTATCTGGAAAAGGCTTACATTTTCTTAATGTCGGACTGTATGTGCCCAAAACAGTGTTGTTTTTTTTCTAAATGAGTACAAAGTTATCTGCAGACTGAACTTCTCCATTTTAAACTGTTTACGAGAAATATTCTATAATACATTACAATATGTCTACATTTTATACAAAGATACATCAGTTGCTTCTGCTAATTATAGGAGGGCCATCTGTGGCCTGAAGCATCTTTTTGTTGTTAAATGAGTTTATCTGTGGAACTCCCTCCATGGAGCTCTTTGTGTTGAGCTCCCTTCTGGAGCCTGCCTTTGCCTGGACAGAAATAGTAGTAAAGAAACCAGAAATGTAATGAACAACATTCCAGCAAGGAATGTGATTTGTGTGCTGTACTTAAGCATTTTGATTTCAGCTTGAGTAGAGACATTTTGTCCAGCCCATAGCGGCTAAGCATGGATTTTATCATCATACCGTTTAAACAGAGAATTAACTAGGACAGGACAATCTGTCTTCTCCACGGTGTCATCCCTGCTTAGTGACCTACCAACCC